ACATACATATTGCAGTCCCTAGGAAATTAAGTTTCTATAGCAAAGTTTTCAAGGCTGCTCAGAACACACCTATCAGCAGCAGTGCAATAACTGCAGTTTTTCTGCTTGCAAATCCATGGCTCTTGAACCAACTGGTAACACAGAGCACCTGAGGTATCTTAAACCATACTCATTATTAAATGCAGCAAATTAGGGAACAGCCTCCTTACATAGCAGTCAAATAATTGTCCCCTGTAACAGTCAAATTTTCTGTCTGATCCTCTCTGAACACTTGAAAGTGTTTAACAACATAATACAACAGACATTTATAAAAGATTCTGCAACAGTGTTGTAGCATGAACTTAACTAGACCAATCATTTTGTATAGTGATCCTAGCAGTCAGTGTTTGTGCAAGAAAACTTGATTAAAAGATCAAATTTTCCATAAAACGTATGTAACTCCATGCAAACGGGGTCTATTGACCACTGAAGAGGAAGTTCTATTTTTTTTTTCTAGTCCAGTCTGGATTAGCCTTTGATCTATTTCATAAGGCACACAAAGCCGAATTTCCCTTTCTTGGCAAATCCTACAACACTTAAGGATTCTGAAAAAAAAGTCAGCCTTACAATATGCTTGAAGACACGCTGGAAAGTCTTCTAAAGTCTTTAACTACTTGTAATTAATCCACTAATTTTCTTTGCTCAAACTGAGCCTCAAGTTCAGAGAATTTGGCTTTCCTGTAACATCAGTACAGCCAGTTTAACATGCATACAACACACAAAAATATCAGATCCAGGTCAGCTGGTGACACATCAGTACTACTCTTATGCTGGTGGTTATACAGCCTGCATTTTGTACAGAGATATCACTCCTCTAGTAAGGGTGCTAGGAGACCTGCATGGTTAAAGAAGGAACTACTGGGCAAACTTAAGTGGAAAAGGAAAATCTATAGATCATGGAAGGAGGGGCTGGTCACTTGGGAGGAATATAGGACTGTTGTCAGAGGATGTAGGGAGGCAATTAGGAAAGCTAAGGCCTCCTTGGAACTTAACCTTGCAAGTCAGGTTAAGGATAATAGAAAGGGCTTTTTCAAGTACATAGCTAGCAAAACTAGCAATAGAGGCAATATTGGCCCATTGAGGAATGAGGTGGGAGCCCTGGTGACAGAGGATATAAAGAAGGCAGAGGTGCTGAATGCCTTCTTTGCCTCTGTCTTCACTCCTGCAGGGTCTCCCTATGAGCCCCAGATTCATATAGCCCCAGAAGAAGTCAAGATAGAGGAAGAGTTTGACATGGTAGATGAGGATTGGGTTAGGGATCAGTTGAGTAATCTGGACATCCATAAATCAATGGGTCCAGATGGAATGCACCCAAGGGTGCTGAGGGAGCTGGCGGAGGTCATTGCTAGGCCACTCTCCATCATCTTCAGTAAATCATGGGCAACAGGTGAGGTGCCTGAGGACTGGAGGATAGCAAATGTCACTCCAGTCTACAAGAAGGGCAAGAAGGAGGACCCGGGTAACTATAGACCGGTCAGCCTCACCTCCATCCCTGGAAAGGTGATGGAACAACTTGTTCTTGTGACTATCTCCAGGCACATCAAGGACATGGGGGTCATCAAGAGCAGTCAGCATGGTTTTATCAAGGGTAAATCATGTTTGACTAACCTCATAGCCTTCTATGAGGAAATTACTAGGTGGATAGATGATGGTAGAGCGGTAGATGTGGTTTATCTTGATTTCAGTAAAGCATTTGACACCGTCTCCCACAGCATCCTTGTGGATAAGTTGATCAGGTATGGGTTTGGTGACCAGGAAGTGAGGTGGATTAGGAACTGGTTGAAAGGAAGGAGTCAGAGAGTTGTAGTCAATGGGGTAGAATCTGGTTGGAGGTGTGTTACTAGTGGAGTCCCACAAGGGTCGGTGCTGGGACCGGTGTTGTTCAACATCTTCATCAACGACCTGGATGAGGGTATAGAATGTACCCTCAGCAAGTTTGCTGATGACACTAAGCTGGGAGGAGTGGCTGACACACCAGAAGGCTGTGCTGCCATTCAGAGAGACTTAGATAGGTTGGAGAGTTGGGCGGGGAGAAACATGATGAAATTCAACAAGGGGAAGTGCAGAGTTTTACATTTGGGGAAGAACAACACCATGTCCCAGTACAGGTTGGGGGCTGAACTGCTGGAGAGTAGTGTAGGTGAAAGAGACCTGGGGGTCCTGGTAGACAGGAGGATGACCATGAGCCAGCAATGTGCCCTTGTGGCCAAGAAGGCCAATGGCATCCTGGGGTGCATTAGAAAGGGTGTGGTTAGTAGGTCAAGAGAGGTTCTCCTCCCCCTCTATTCTGCATTGGTGAGGCCACATCTGGAGTATTGTGTCCAGTTCTGGGCCCCTCAGTTCAAAAAGGACAGGGAACTGCTCGAAAGAGTCCAGCGCAGAGCTACGAAGATGATTAGGGGAGTGGAACATCTCCCTTATGAGGAAAGGCTGAGGGAGCTGGGTCTCTTTAGCTTGGAGAAAAGGAGACTGAGGGGTGACCTCATCAATGTTTACAAATATGTAAGGGGTGAGTGTCAGGGGGACGGAGTTAGGCTTTTCTCGGTGATGACCAGTGATAGGACAAGGGGTAATGGGTGTAAATTGGAGCATAGGAGGTTCAAGGTGAATATCCGAAAAAATTTTTTTACTGTGAGAGTGACAGAGCACTGGAACAGACTGCCCAGGGAGGTTGTGGAGTCTCCCTCACTGGAGACATTCAAAACCCATCTGGATGAGTTCCTGTGTGATGTACTCTAGGTGACCCTGCTCTGGCAGGGGGGTTGGACTAGATGATCTCTCGAGGTCCCTTCCAGCCCCTAAGATTCTATGATTCTATGATTCTATGATAACGCCAATTACTTCCAAACCAGCAGAAGGGAAAGCAAAGATTGCATCAAGTCTCAAGAAGTCCCTTTACCACATACACATAGAAAGGATGACTGTTCTTCTAGAAAACAGCTTCATATGCCATCTTACACTGAACACTAAAAATCAGAGACAGTGGCATCGGCATCAACAGAACTGTATGCCCCTACTTTTGGTGAAGTAGCAAACTGGTAAACATTAAGCAAGTTTAAGTCCTTAAGTCTTTTAGTCATTCTTACACTCACTAAGTACCCCCTTACAACTTAGGAAAGCTTGTTGAGGCTTGACCTACAGATTATGCTTTACAGCAAAGCAGTGCCACTAATAAAGATATTAGAAGTTGTAACGAACTCAAGCCATAGTAATACATTTATGACCTCTGAAAGAGAGCAACTCTGACAGTTATCTGCAATATGCAAACAAATAATTTTTGGAAAGTCTAAGCAAGATAAGGGAGGGTAAGGTAAAAGCAGAAAGGTTTCTTTACACATCATCATTATGCTGAGAAAACTGCTTTGTAGTACACAACTCCCACTTAGGCTTATCAAAAACCTGTACACACAAGGTTGTATTTCTTACTTTATCTCGACATAAACTAATACCCTTGCATGAAATCTGCCTTAAGAGAGACATAGATTACAGGAGGCATTCTTGTGTGTTAAGGTTATACTTCACTCTGATTGCAAAATCATTTGTCAGGCATGAGACTTGAGGAAGATTTCTCCTAACTGACCCTGTAAAAATACCCATTTTACACTTATGATTGGAATACTGAAGTTGCTCCCTTAGTTTCTGCATTACAGCTACTTAATACACACTTCCTTGAAGAAACAATCCACCATACAGCTTCTTAAAATGTTAACTCATTCCCTGTTTTGCTATGACTATGCACACCTGTCACCCCAAAAAAATTTACAGCTCTCTAATCTGATCTTTGAACAATTAATAGAAAAAAAAGGGAGGGGAGGAAGGAGGAGAAGAGGGAAGCTACTCTCATTACATTTGTATACGTGGTGATGCAACGAGTAACATAAAGAACATATTTCAAACAACGTCGAGTTACAAAGAAACCATCCTTACAGCTGAATCTCATTAAATCAAACTTGATTCAAGCTGATTACAATTTTAGACAGCTACTAGGGGGATAGGTGGTATTTTGGGCTGACTTGGTAAGCTCTTCTTAAAAAGACTGACAGTTTTAGAAGTACTTATTCCAGAATTGAGCGCTGTTGTTCTCAGAAGTTAAATATGAACACCTGTAAATTTAATCTGCAAGGTCTTTACCACTTGTTTCTGTAACATTTGCACTGTGCACAAGATAAAACCTTTTTCAAAATTAAAGCTGTGTATATCAGCATGTATGAAATTCATGTGCTTGCATTTATTTATAAGGAGGCCTGTGAAGTTCAAGAAAAAAGTTTTCAACTCACTTATTTCACTAGCAACCTGGTCCAGTTTTTCTTGAGACCTACTGATCAGAGCCACTTTCATTCCACGTCTTGCTAACTGCAACAAAACAAAAGAGGAGACATGAGAACAGTCATAAATTGCTTTCAAGTTAGTATACTAATTAAAGGAATTGCATAATTTATCAAACATCACGAAAATATATCAGCAGCAAGTTTGAAAAAATTACAATTTTAAATAGAGACATGAAAGGGTAAACCAGGACAAAGACTTCCATGCTACTTTTCACTTGATTCCCTTCAAGACAAATTTATTACACTCTCAATAACCCAATAAAGGTGTATAGGCACGTTTACAAAACAGAAAAACAACAGCAGATATTTTACAGAACTTTTACAACACCTCTGCAAGTCAGAGCAAAGAACTTATTACCCACAATTAAGTTTAACAAGCCAAGATATCCATGGTCACTTCAACAATCATGTTGCAAAATTATCCCAGCACTCAATACTTCAGACAGGTTACACTCTTACTTGGTACTAATCATAGGTATAAAGGTTAATTTACTCATGCGGCTCTTTTAGGGAACTTGTGTAACTTAGGCTGTGGCAAGGACATATCCTGCTCATCAAATCAGACCTACCACTGCAGATTTGTAATATGATCTAATTCAATTTAAAAGTGTCTGCAGAAAGACAGCTAGATATCTGAATTATTCTGCAATGGAAATGAACCATGTTTGTGGCTACTCCAAGTCCCTTGTTCCAGTGAAAAAGAAAAAAACCAAAACATTTTAGAAATCCACAGTTCATAGTGACACTGCATAACATCTACATGTAAAAAGAGGTAAGTTCTCACTACTCCAGGAAAGCTCCTTCACTGCCTTAGGAAGCATATAGGAACAGGTCTTGAAGGAAATCTAAACACAAAAAAAAAACCACACAAAGAAACCCCACAGCATAGTACACTGACAATCCAAAGTGACTTATCTCATCTACCTTTCTAGCAGACACAGGCAAACCAAGAAACCTTCCTTCAGAGAGAAGATGAAGTTCATCAGCAAACTCTTATGCTTCACTCCCATGTATGATATCTAAGAAGAAGAATCTCAAACTAGATACCTCATGAGCTTAAGAGTGAGGCATGATGAAATCAAAGACATTCTCACTAAGAACTGATTACAAACTGCCACCAATTCAGGCTTATGGACTTACACTTCCCACTCAAGGACAACTGCCTAAAATGGATGGAAAAATCTACCTCTAGATAAGCACCTGGCTCACTGGAATAAACTTTTCATAAAGCCAAGCAGTAGGCTTGAAGGGCAACGGGGAGAAGGGAATAACATGGCATGCTCTCATTCCACAGGATCAAGGCAACAAAGGCAAGTAATTTACCTACAAGTATCTCAGCCTGTGACATTGAGGACAACCTGAAAGTAATCTCCTCAGAGTCTGACTTAGTTGTTGTACCATGGGGGAAAAAAGCCCCACAGATGTTCCTTCATTGACACATAGTTTGCTTTCTTTCAGCAGTCATGACCTCTGATCTCCCAGTTTGCTCAAGTAGATACCTGAGCTTTACAGAAAAGTATCCAGCTGTTCTTGTCTCAAAAGCCAAGGAAGGAAAGCCAGGCCAACATACCCAGTTAGTGGAACCTCAGCATGTACAGAGAACTTCCACCACGAGACTGAGCTTGAGAAACCACTGCTATCTTGACACTGAAGGGACACATTCTGACAAGCACGTCTGAAATCTGGAAATGGAAACCAATCTGCAAGAGGAATGCTCTGAATACAGAGCACATAAAATGCCCAAGGAAAGAGTCTGTAAGTAGAAACAAATAGCACTGGAGAGAAGTAATCAAACTCAAAAAGATACAGTGCTCAATGGCATGTTCAGTTTTAGTCTGATGAAACCAATATCATTTTCTGCTGAACGCTGTGAAATAACTGGTAGAGACCTACTGAGTTGAAAAGAATCATAACAGCACAAAGAACAATAAAAATCCTCTGAGATCCTAGTACCTAATTATGTTTTTATATAAGGAATGAGGACCACCCAGTCACTTTGTAGATGACCTACCATTATACTTGGATCTTTGGCCAGTGTCATGAAAAGACTAAATGAGAAGACCTTAAAAAACATCACAATAACCCACCCAGAGTAGCAAACACTGGGGAGATGTTCTCATAGCCTAAGGAATGACGCAAGCAAAAGTCACCATTCTGACAGAGTTGGCAGATGTAGGTGTCAGATTTCCTTAAATCCTGTGCTAGTAGCTACCATATTTTCCACTTTGGTAGCAAAATACTGCTGCTGTTAAGGCCCTTTTCCTCCGAGGTGGAAAGGAATGTCATTGAAAGCCCACCAAAGCAGAGTTAAAGCTCTTCTTAGACTATGTATAGCAAAATGATCTACAAAAAGCAACACTAAGCAGATATGCACAGCAGAGTAGTGCAGAGGATGCAATGGAACCACCATCTCTAGTTTATTGCCAGTATGCAAATACATCCGACAAATTTAACTCATGATTTGCAAAAGAGAACAGAAGACAGCTAGAGAGGGGCAACAAATCGCAACTTCTGACCAAATCCTTAAAAGAGAAACTTGTGCTGCTTTAGAATCAAAGACTAGGTGAGCTTCACCCTGAGAAGAAAACTTGCTTTTACTATGGCACTATTGTTTGTGAAGCCATTGTCTAGTGATGGAAAGGATATCAGATAACTTATAATTGCAACAGTGGAAAGTGTAAAAACAGCTCTTTGCTTGGAAAAGAAGAAAATCAACAAAGCAGAACATAAGCACAGAATCCACAAACTCGTAACATTCTTCCATCGCTTACTGGTGACCATGTCAAACTTTCAAAGAGACAATTCTCAACACAGCATTTCTCACCAATTTTTCCAAGGAGAAGGAAGCAATCTGCATTATTATAATCACAGCCATGAATGCCCAGGAAGCTGTGTGCCAGAGGGCATGTCTAAGTAGAATTCTACAGGAATTTCTAGTTGAAAGTCAAGTCTCCACTGGCAGTCTAATGACGACATCTCTAGAGTTAACGGAAAGATTGAGAAGTTTGTACAGGTAATTCCACATTTCACTCTGCATTCACACTTCATGAAATAATCTTCATCAGTGTGAACTGTCAAATGGTAGATACATGTTTTATTTTAAATAAATAAATAATGATGAATTTTTAAAGAAAGATGAGCTTTATTCTATAGCCCAAGAATAAATATTTGTATAATTTGGGGTACTTCTGGGGTGCTCTGTGCCTACAGCAACTACAGCTGAGAAGCTGAAACAGTTTCCTAGCAGAATCTCACCCTTGTGATCAGCTTTGCTAATAGGGGTTTGAACAGAGGGGTCTGCCAGCAGCACACATCCACATCTGAAGGCAGCCTGGTTCTCAAACACAAGCAGAACACAAAGCAAGCTGTAGTTTCTTTCACTCAATAACCCAACAGAGATCCTGAAACTCATCTTCCATGATGTTCAGGGGGTGTCTCCCACACCAGAGGACTTCCCCTGATAGTCCTATGCCCTGGGCACAATGATCTCCTTCCACTTTCTCTAGGCAGCTAAATTTAAGTGTTGCATCATTTGCTTCAGGGATATTTGTACCTGGGATATTTGGCATGTATGAACTGTAAACTCTATGCCAGAATCAGATGCTGTTGGCATCAGGCTTAATTTCCTTTGCAGTCAGTTACCCCTTATCTTGACCCAGTAGGACAAGGTGCTACTTTCTGTGAAGCAGAAAGGAATCTGTGGACTAGGGGTGCAGGTGGCAGGAACACACAGGGATGGAAGGGAAATCTGAAGGGTGACGACACTTTGTAAGGACAAACACTCCTTTCCCCATGGGTTCCATAGAATAAAATATTCTGGAAAAAAGGAATCACTGCTGATCTCCTCACACAAAGTCATGCTGGTGCTTCAGAGAACACAAAGATCAGTACAGACAGGCTGACTCTGGTACTGATGCTGAAGTTGTAAGTTATTTTTGCTGTAAATTGTTCTATTCATCATTATGTTCTCTGGGTTTATAAGCTAAATTGCCCCATACCAACAGGCACTTTCTGTCTTAAGCAATACATTCCAGTACCATTTTTGAAGCCCACATATCCATCAAGAGTAAAAATACAGTAAAAGAGATAAAGGTAAAACCCAGCTTCAGAGACTTCATGAACTATAGGGAATAATTGGAACATACTGCAGGCAGCTAGAAATGCCTTTTAGTCAGTGCCTGGAAATACCAAAAGGAAATATCAAGGGTTGAGAAAGTTAAAATAATTGTAACAACTAAAAAGTTAAAAATAAAAACTGAAGGATAAAGTAAGGGCCGAGAATAGAAAAAAAGGAAACTAATAAAAAGGAATACACAACTTTTGGCTGGTCTGGTCATCTGAGGGAAGCCAGGCATCTATGTTAAGATAAAATGAGATATGTCTACTGCTTGACAGAGTTCAGACAGCATGACATCTTGCCAAGGATCAAGATACACTTCCAAGTGATAAGAATTCTCACCTCTTCTGCATAGGCTTTTCCAATCCCATCAGTAGATCCTGTGACCACTGAAAAAGAAAGACAGATATCCATTAATTGCTTCACAGAAATAACTGCAATAGGTGTTCATTAGTAGGCCATGAAAGTACTCATTCCAGTCAAGAGACATGTCAAACCTTCTGCAATAGATGCACAACTACTAATCTCTTACAGAACTCACACTAAAATATCCTCATATGTAAGAAAGAAGAAGAAGAGAAGGAGTTATGAGCCTATCATTTTAAGTCCTCTGCTCTACTGTGCTTCTTCAGAAACTTTACAGACTAAGAAAAAGTAACTTAATTTTTAAAAAAATCAGTTATTACTATTAAACCAGCTCTCAACTTGTTTTAAGCATATAGTAAAAGAAAAAGTATCTTAAAGCCTGTAAGCATCCAACAAAACAAACATGTTATGACACAGACCACAGGTCCCTGCTTGTGACTATCCAGTAGTCACTGCCTGTGACCACTGTGTTTACCAGCAGCAAGTCTGAGTGACTGATGCAGCTGTCAGTTGCAAGCTGGGCTTCTAGAATTTGAACTTTTTCACCTGTGGGTGATTGGTTTCTGTGTTAAGCCTCAAGTCTTTCTAGGATTCTTTTCTACATGCTGGAAAGCTCTGAGTGACTCAACATGCCATTAGTTTGACAGATTATTCCAGGGCTCTCATCACATCAGTAGCTGATCATCTCAGTTTGCTCACTAAATAGCAATTCCTCCATCCAGAATCTGCTTCTTGAGCTACTTCTTAAGCAAACACATTCAGCACCACTTTTTCTCTCAGCTCTTCCTTCTCATCAAACCCAATGCCTACACCTCAACATTCTTGCTCATGCAGCTCTCCACTCATTCATCTGTCTCTGCTTTCACACGCCAAGTAGCTACAGAATATACCAGATTTTTCTGTTTGTCCTCATGTCAGATCAGAACAGCTTGATTTGTGCTTCCATTGCTTACCCCTGAATGCAGGCATGCCCAAATAATTTGGCTTGTTTTATGGTTCACAGAACTGAACAGAGAGTGTTGGTTCAACTCTCAGGTCAACTTCTATCTAACTGAAACTCACAGCAGATTGAGGTGTTGTCTTACACTGGGATTCAGCAATAACCTCCCTCAGGGCATCAGAAGGAGATGTGTTTGCAGATTATTTGATTAGTCCCTGCTTGCAGATCACCCATAACAGTTGACATGCAAACAGCAGCCAGAATATTTCCTAGCTGTAATAACAGCTAGGAAATGCTGTAACCATTTTAATTCCTGTGCCTGCTAGCTACAAATAAGTGGATGTAATAACAAGTGCTGAAGCTGCCAGGGAAGGTTCTATCTGAGCATGAATGGCCAGCCAACAGTGCAATAACAGGCTAAGAAGGAAAAATCCAGTCATGTCCCTGACTCAAGATAGATTTACAAATGATCACAGATGCAGGTACATGGACATACATTTATCCCTTCCCCAGTTTAAAGGTTTATTTGCAAGATGCCATAGATCCAGAGTGATAGATATGCAGGACTCTTCCATTAGCACGCCAGCACATGGTGCACACACAGCATGTCTGTGTCACACTGTTTTGCCACATCCTATCCAGTCACAAATAGGGAAATGCGAGTAACAGTTGTGTTACAGAAATAAGTCCACATATGGAAAGGTCAAGCCAGGGTCCAAATGACCAAAAAAAAAAAAAAAAAAAAAAAAGAGTCCTTTGCAAAGAAATCAAGAATACATTCCCAGGAGTCCACTTGCCTGCAACCAAACTTGTACCCATGTTGTTACCCATTGTAGCCAGACAGCACCACAGTCCTGCAGAAAGGCACCATCCATTTAGTTCAAGGACAGCTTCAGTTTCAGCCTTGCTGATCTTGGGTTTCACCTTATACATTAAGACACAGTTTGTTATTGCTTCAGCAAAACAAACAGGAGCACAGCAAAAACCTGTATCAGTACCACTCCCCATCAGGCTTACAACAGTAGTGGGACACGTTCTAAGTTGACCCAACGTAGAAAACACTAAACTTCAGTGACTCAGTGGAAGAGGTTCCTTCCTTCATCATAGTTGGCAAGGTACCTAAATAACAGCCATTCCCTCTAACACTTACAGATCATTTCTCCTCCTTCCAACCCAAAATTTATGAACTTAATGGTTTTATTCCCAGATAACAAGCTCAACATTTTAAAATACTGCTTTCTGACACTGAGCATTGCTCAGCTTCTAGCAACTACAGCTGAGAGAGCATGCTCTGTAAGGCAGGGACTCCAAAAAGCATCTCTAGCACTTCAAAGGCTTAGTAATGTGAAAGTACAATTTCAGTCAAGGATATTTACCTCACTTATTGAATTCATTGCTTAGGTAAGTTGTAATAGAATCAGCTGGAGCATGAGACTTAAGACACTGAAGATCAGGGAAGTGATCTAACTGAAGTGACCGAACGGTTCCTTCAATTTTAGGCTCTACTTCAAATTAAAATAACCTGTAGTCCAGAACTTAAAGTACCCTCCAGAACATAGTTTGAGAAATTTAAACAAATCTGATGCAGATAAATCACTAAAGACATTACAAAATCTCACCAGGAAAAAAAATAAATGCTTGAGCCATCACCTACATAAACAGGCACACAGCTGATACTCATTGTGCTGCTTTAACTGCAGGTAAAGCCACCACCATCAGAATAAACTACATAGCTGGTTTTTCTTAACAAGGGAAATTGCCCCTTCTTGTCCAAGTGGTAGAGGAACCAAAGAGAAAAGATGCTATGCTGGACCATGTTCTCACCAACAAGAACAGGCTGGTAGACAACATGAAGTTCATGCACAGCCTTGACTGCAGTGACCACAAAATGGCAGAATTCAGGATCCTTAGGGAAATGAGGGTGCACAACAAGTTCACTACCCTGAACTTCAGGAGAGCAGACTTTGATCTCTTCACAGATCTGCTTGGTAGAGTATCATAGAATAAAGCTCTGGAAAGGAGAGGAGCCCAAGAAAACTGGTCAACATTCAAGGATCACCTCCTCCAAGCTCTGGAACACTGCATCCCTACAAAGAGGAAGACAGACAAGAATGCCAGGAGGCCTTCATGGATGAACAAGGAGCTCCTGGACACAATTAGATGTAATGTCTACAGAAGGCAGAAGCAAGGACAGAGAGCCTGGGAGGACTATGAAGACAATGTCTGAGCAGTCAGGTACTAAGTTAAGAAAGACAAAGCCCAGATAGAATTAAATGTAGCCAAGGACATCAAGGGTAACAAGAAAAGATTCTACAGGTACGTAGAAGAAAGACAAAGGAAAATTTGAGTCCTCTCCAAAAGGAAACAGGAGACCTGGTCATGTGCGATATTAAGAAGGCTGAGGTACTCGGTGACTCAGTTTTCACTGACAAGGGCTCTGGCCCAAGTTGCAGAAGGCAAAAGCAGGGACTGTGAGAAGGAAGATTCTCTCCTCACTGTACGAGAAGACAAACTAAAGAACCTGAAAGTGCACAAATCCAAGGACCTGACAAGATCCATCCACAGTGCCTGAGGGAACTGGCAGAAGAAGTTGCAAAGCCACTTTCTATCATATTTGAGAAATTGTGTCAGTCCAGTAAAGTTCCCACTGACTGGAAAAGGGGAAACATAAACCCCATTTTCAAAAAGGTAAAAAAAAAAAGAAGACCCAGGGAATTACTGGCCAGTCAGTCTCACATCTGTGCCTGGCAAGATTATGGAGCAGATCCTCCTGAAGGCTTTGCTGAGGCACATGGAAAACATGGAGGTGGTTGGGGACAACCAACATGGCTTCACCAAGGGCAAATCATGCCTGATGGATTTGGTGGCCTTTTACGATAGGCTCAAACCATTGGTGGACAAGGGGAAAGCAACTGACATCATCTACCTGGACTTGTGCAAAGCACTGGATGCTGTCCCACATGAAATCCTGGTCTCCAAATTGGGAAGATTTTGATTAGATAAGGAATTGGCGGGACAGTCACACTCAAAGAGAGGTGCTCAATGGCTTGATGCCATCAGCGTGGTGAACAAACTGGAGGGAATGGATGCCATCGAGAGGAACCTTGACAGACTCAAGAGGTGGTCCCCTGCCAACATCATGAACTTCAACAAGGCCAAGTGAAAGGTTGTCCTGCACATCGGCCAGGGCGACCTCAAGCACAGTTACAGGCTGGGTGGAAAATGGATTGAGAACGGCCCTGAGGAAAAGGACTTGGGGGTGTTGGTTGATGAGAAGCTCAACATGAGCTGGCCATATGCGCTTGCTGCCCAGAAAGCCAACTATGTCCTGGGCTGCATCAAAAGAAGCGTGGCCAGTAGCTCAAGGGAGGTGATTCTCCCTCTCTACTCCACTCTTGTGAGATCCCACCTCGAGTACTGTATCCAGTTCTGGAGCCCCCATTATAAGGAGGGCGTGGAGCTGCTGGAGTGAGTCCAAAGGAGAGCCACAAAGATGACCAGAGGGCTGGGGAACATCTCCTGTGAAGACAAGTTTAGAGTTGGGGTTTTTCAGCCTGGAGAAGAGAAGGCTCTGGGTCTACCTGAAGGTGTTTAGTCCCAGTTGGTGGGTTTCAATGGAGGTGAACCTTTTTCATACCCCAAAAAGCACTTGACCTAGAGGAGCCACAACAAATGCTTTATTAAGAGTTCACTACTTAAATGTCAATGGCAGGCAATCATGGAGTTGTTGACTCAATATGACTACTTCTGTAACCAGTGAATGGACTGAACTAGGGAAAACTGCTGGGATTTTGTAACCCCGTAACTCATAGAAGAAAAAAGAAAGGAAAGATAGATAACAAGACAGGACAGATTTTGTTCCACTGAACCATCTCTTGACAAGGGCCTACAGGAAAGCTGGGGAGTGAGTAACAGCTATAAACTTCAGGAAAGGAGATTTATATTAGACATTAGGAAGAAATTCTTCAGTGTGAGGGTAGTGAGACACTGGCACAGGTTGCCCAGAGGAGTTGTGGATGCCCCCCTCTCTGGAAGTGTTCAAGGGCAGGTTGGACGGGGCTTTGAGCAACCTGGTCTAGTGGGAGGTGTCCCTGCCCGTGCATTGGGGTTGGAACTGGGTGATCTTCAAGGTCCCTTCCAACACAAACCATTCTATGATGAAATCCTCTTCTCCCATGAAGGGAGGTAATACCACCAATTTATTAGTGGCTCTACTCTGAAAAGGATAACTTTGTCTCCTTCTCTATGCTCCCACACTATCTACAAGAATAAACATAGTACAAGGACTGCCTTCCAACACATAACCTAAAACCCCACCTTTTTTCAGGCAATGCTTTTCTTTCTAAGGCACACAGTTCAGCCAGGGAGCTGCACTTACTGCCCATTTATCACAGAATCACAGAATATTAAGGGTTAGAAGGAACCTCCAAAGATCATCTAGTCCAACCCCCCTGCCAGAGCAGGACTAAAAAAAACTAGGGCAGATCACTTAGAAATGAATCCAGACAGGTCTTGAAAGTCTCCAGGGAAGGAGATTCCACAGCCTCTCTGGGGAGCCTGTTCCAGTGCTCTGTAACCCTCACAGTAAAGTTCCTTCTCATGTTGAGGTGGCATTTCCAGTGCTCGAGTTTGAATCCATTGCCCCTCATCCTGTCACAGGGCACAAGTGAGAAGAGCTTGTCCCTGCCTTCTTAATGCCCACCCCTCATGTATTTATAGATATTAATTAGATCACCCCTCAGTCTTCTCCCTTCCAGACTGATAAGCCCCTCATAAAGCAGGTGTTCCAGTCCCTTCATCATCCTCATAGCCTCCATTGGACTCTTTCAAGTAGATCCCTGTCCCTCTTGAACTGGGGAGCCCAGAACTGGACACAATAATCCAAGTGAGGTCTCACCAGGCCAAGTAGAGGGGGAGGAGAATGGGAACCTAGCGAGCAGCTGGTGGGTCAGGGAGGCTACTCACACAGATACCTGCCATTGCAGAGAGCAATACTTAGACTCTATACTGTAAAAGGAAGGAAAAGAGGTGGGGGTAAAGATCACTGGCTGGACCAACATCACAAAAGTCAAGACTCAGCCACCTTTTCTTCCTCAATGCTTGGACTACCTAAAATGTGTATGTTACAAGGAAGCAGAGAGCAATAAAAACGAGGCTTTGGTAAGACTTGTGTGTTAGCAAGGCACTTATAATTTTCATACTGATTACACTCATTTCTAGTTTCCACTCAGGAGCCAAGTGCTGCAGTTTTAGCCACTCCAAAGCTGCGCCAGTTTAACTAAATCTTTACTATCAACTTGATGTGCCAAAGTTAGTTAAAATCCAAGTGTGCATTAAGCTTTTAAATTCTGCTTCTTCTACAGGCTTCCTTCCAACGAAAGTTACCAATTGACTTGCAGTTGGCAGAGCTTAAAGAAGGCAAAGCAAGTAGGGTAGGAATAAGTTATTGTCTGTACAAGAAAGCTGCACCAGCTCATATGTGTGATTATACACATTCACTCAGTAGTCAGACTAACCGTGGTAGCTTCCCACTTCAGCCATCTGCTGTCTCCAGAAGAGAACAGAGAAGAGTGCCCAGGCAGCTCATGTGTGAGCCCATGAATAAAAGTTTGTCTGAATGGAAGCTTGAATAGAAGCACTGGTTGCTTTTAGGTAAAGAAGACAACTTCCATCTTTTGCTGACTTTCATGGCTATAGAGGAAAAGGGGAAGAAAAATAAGGAAATGTATCCAGTAACATGACATACTCTGAAAATAGTTCTCTCTTAATAAACCAGCATATGCACTCACACTGGGTTGGAGATGTTCTACCCTGGACAATACCACTAGCCC